TCTCTCTCTCTCTCTCTCTCTCTCTCTCTTCTAACTCATCCAACCCCCAATGTTTTCTCGCCCGGCAGATGGCTGGTGTCCAGACCGGACGGCTCCCAGGTACGCCAGGGTCAAGGTCAGCTGCCGTCCTCCATCCAAGAGGAACTCAAGATGAAGCAGGTCCTGATGCCGGACCACGTGACCAGCACGTGGACAATTCTTGCTGGAGACGGATCTGTGGTCGAGAGTGGGCAAGGTAGGTAGTGTTAATATGTCTTGTTTTTGATGTTTTCTTTTGTACATGTCCTTTAGCGAGTTCGAGCCTCGGTTCGGGGACGGATTTTTTCCGCCCCCCGCCCCCCCTCCAGCAGTAATGGGTATCTGACTTCGAGTTGGGGAAGTAAAGGCGGCGTGGAAAAGCACTGGCCACCCTACCATAATATGCCAAAGGCTCAGGAAGCTGTCTCACTAACAATGTGCGGATCGGGTACGGGAACAGGTTTACTTTACTTTTACTTTAGCCGGTGGTTGGAGGGCATCACTAATAGGTCCTACTTAGTGAGTGTAAGGGTTTAACGCCCCATCAACTCTATTAGGTCTTACTTTTTAACTTAAGCAATCTAGAGACGAATAAGTCATTGTGAAATTAAAACAAAGCTTTCAACCTGGAGGAAGAACTAAAAAGAGAAAGTATGGAGAAAGAAAGAAGTGACATACCACTCGTAAGTAAAATTTAATAGCACACAAACACAGTGAATTTAGACAGTATGTCAATGTTCCTTATCTTACTGTTAGTGAGCATGTACCTCTTACTCACCAGAAAAGTGTTTGATTGCTACTTCGAACCCATTAGGAAGGGGTGGGTAATGGTTGTAATTATGTACTCTTTTACGCCCCCATTGACATAATAAAGATCATTTAGGAGGCGGGCTGCTTTATACCTGTTTACTGGGGCCAACACAGATCCGGTAGGGTTATGCTTCCCAGAAGCAGACGGAAATTTGTGAATAGATCATCCCCCAGACTTGAATCGAGCTCAAGTCTTATGCGTGCGACCACCGTGCTCTCTCTCTCTCTCTCTCTCTCTCTCTCTCTCTCTT